AGCCTCAGTCCTCAAGAAACTTATATCCTACTGGAGTTTACATGAACATAGAAAAGTATACTACAGAGCAAGGAGTGAAGTAATTTCACAAAAGGTGGAATTAGACAAAGTGTTCTAGGAGAATCTAAGAATGGGGAGAACAATAATAGCTGGGAGGATCAGGAAAGTTTCAGGGAGGAGGTGGCACTTAAGCTGAGCTTGGGAGGAAGACCAACATTTGTAGAGATGAAGTAAACTCTACTCTTGGGCAATGGTTTATGAAATCATGTGTAAGTGGGAAATGAAGAGGTGGTAGTTGGAAAGTGGTGTACATTAAAGGGAGTGGTGTGAAATAGATGTAACAATGAATACTTCGGGGGGCAGCTAGGTGGAGCAGTAGACAGAGCACCAGTCCTGGATTCAGGAGGACCTGAGTTCAAATCCAGCCTCAAACATATAACAGTTACTAGCTGTATGACCCTAGGCAAGTCACTTAAAGTCACCCATTGCCTAGCCAAAAAAAAAAGAAAATGTATACATTAGATCCTGATTGTAGGGAGTTTTACACGCCAAGCTAAGTCCTTTTTATTTTTCCCTAAAAGCAATGCAGGATTTCTGAAGGTTTCTTTCTTTCTGAAGATTTTTGAGCATGAGAGAGTCATGATAAGACTGAGATCTATATGAAGAATGGATTGGAGATAGTAGAGTTCAGAGGCAGAGAGGATACTTAGGATGCTAGTCTAATAACTGGTCAAGAGGTTACAAGGGCCTAAAATAGGATAATGGCTGTATTATTGGAGAGAAGAGGATAGATGTGAAAGAGATTGTTGTGGATGAATGGAGCTTGGCAACTGATAGGAATTTTGGTTGGAGAAAGAGTGCTGGGTACATAGTAGGTGTCTAATAAATGTTTGTTTTATTTAATTGAATGGAATTCTGTGATCATAGACAAGTCCCTTCACCCTCTGAATGGAGTTTTCTTCACTATAAAATGGAAATAGCAATATTTACATCAACTCTCTTACAGAGTTGTGAAAATCAAGTGAGGTAACTGTGACTATGAAGTACTGTGTAAGTACAGAATGTCCCAAAAGTCACAGTAGTTTTAAGCTTTAATAGCCTTTGAGCCTTAATAGCTCGCGCAACTGCACTAAGATTTTTGGAACACTCTGAATCTGCCATGATTACATGTGCCTCTTTTAGTATTTTCTAACCCTCTTCCCCCAGCATCTCTTCCTACTGTTCTGCTTCTTCCCTTTATTTTTCCTTTTCCTTTTTTTTTCTTTCTCCCCTAAGCTCTCTTTGGGGTTAGTAGTAGCCCCCAGGGGACATTGCTTAGCCTTCTGGCAGCCCTCTGTGTTTTACAGGTTGATGATTTTTTGGTCTGTGGCTTGTATTGCCTAACCTATAGTGTTTATTTTTTTAATTTGTTTGTTTGTTTTTCCAGTTCTTATTAGTTAAAAGATTCTAGCTTAGTGTTGTGAAGAGCAATTCAGCTCGAGGCAGCTCCTGAGAAGTTAGGCTGAAAGGCCAATAGGATCTTGATATGTAAATACAAAGGAAAGAAGGTTTGAGAAGGCAGTGAGTGAGGGTCTAAAGTCATTATACTGACAGGAAGCTGAAAGGAGACGAGGATGGAAGGCTTTGGCAGATTTACCTCTGGGATTTCAGTTCTGTCCCCATTAACATTTTCTTAATGCAATAACAATAGAGAAAGCACAGTAGGGTGGAATGGGTATACTTTTGGAGGGAAAGTGATAACAGATGTATTTTACTAACCTGCCTGAATTAAATTGGCCCCCAAAGGTCATGTGAACTTCACTGTCTTTCTCTCCTGGCACCTTCTTTCCACACACTCTTCCTGTTATGTCATCCCTACCTTGTGTTTCAAGTATAAGGTTCTAGAGTTCTCAACACCGAGGATCTTCTGGCCTGCTTCTGATGTGCTAGAATGCACAGAAAATGCACTGGTTCCTCTTTATGCTGCTGTTTTGAGGGTCTATGCTATGGTATCTGCTTGTAGGAGAGACTGCTTTCTATTTATGTCTCATTGATAGAGGCCTAAAAGAAACTTGCCCATTATCAAATTTCACTCCCTGGAGAGAAGTGTCATTGTGAGGGTCTGGGGAATTACATTGTGTAGTGGGGAGGAATCATAAGGGTGTCTGATGTCATGACCCTGGAGTGTCAGGACGCCTTGAAAAAAAGCTAAGAAGTGGAGGGGGGGGGGAACAAATCCAGAAGGAAGTTAGTGGCATTGGAAAGGGAGGGAGGCAAAAAAGATGCTTTCACCCAATTAATGAATTCCACATCCAAAGACTATAGACTGATGATCCACGTGACCAAGCAGAAGTGGTCACTACCTGGGTTATCAGAACATCACCTGAATTGTTCCCTAAAGTTTGTTACAAGATATTGCACATGACACCTGAAACAATAACTAATGGCTAATATAAACGCTTCACTTGAGGAGTAATTCCGAGTTTCTTTCATTAGTCCATAAAACCCAGTAAGTACTTAAGTGCCCAATTCTCTGTCCTTTGTTAAGAAAAATCATGGGATTTGTTTGTTTGTACCCAAACTGTGATTTCATTAGGGAAAGAAAAGAGAAGAAAGTTCAGTTAACAATTCAGATAGTCAATTGTTCTGAAACTTGCAGTTTAGAGAGTTGACTGGGGCACTGAGAAGTTAAGTGACTTACCCAGGGTCCCACATTCAGTGCATGTCTGAGGTGAAACTTTACCCCAGGTGCTTCTGACTCTGATCAGCTTTCTGTCAGCTATATCGCACTGCCTTCTGGAATATTCCTTTCCATGTCTGTTTATTTGTGTGAATAACATATACTGTTACCATAGCAATGTTCTGTAGTTTGTTAAAGAAAACTATAGTTAAGAGGGGAAAGGTCCCACTTGTTTTTTTTCCTGTGATAGGATTATGCATCTTGTGACTCTGTGTGTGACTCTATGTATGTGTGTGTGTGCATACACTTGCATGTACGATGTACTGATTTGTGGTTTAACTTTTGTGTAAATGAACCATTGCCAGAGAAAGACAGATTAAAAAGTCAAGAGTGAGGAAAAACAAAAGGGTATGAGCAGAAGAGAAGTTGGCTGAGATATATAAGGGTGAGATGTAGTAACTTTAAAAGTCACAGGAATATGGTTCTAGAGAAAATCTGCAGGTAAGAGAACTAGTACCCTGACAAAAAGAAAGGTTTTACGAAGGAAGAAAAAAACCCTAGACATCTAGAGGAATAATATTATTATTATTATTATTATTATTATTATTATTGTAGATTAAACCTGTGATTTAATTTGTAATGGAACTCCCAGGTGAAGAAACTCCTTCTATTAATGCAGGTCAACAACTCCTTTGCACTTACAGTCTTAGAAAGTTCCCACAATACCTAGAAATTGTGACTTGGCCAGTGTTACATGATTATTATGTGTCAGAACTAGGACTTGAATCCAATGCCTCCTACTGGTTCTCTATCCATTATACGACACTACCTCTCCATAGTAATACTAATACTAATCATGACAATGAATCATGTTTATATTATACATTAAGATTTGCAAAACCCTTGGCTTATATTATCTCATCTGATCCTCCTAACTGTCCAGCTAGGTATTATAGGCATTATTATCTCCATTTCAGAGACAAGGGCGCTGAATCTTAGAGAAAAGCTAAGTGACTTATTTAGCTAGTAAGGGTCATGTATGAGAATTAAAGGTAGAATTTGAACGTGGGTTTCTTCTGACTCTAAATCCAGATTAAACGTAGGGATCTGACTAAAGGTCATCTTTAAAGATAGATGTCTTTGAAAAGGAAGATGAACAATGTCTGAGTTGGATCCTTCAAGGAAAGAAGAGTTGAGTACTTTGAGGGAATTGCTGTGGGTGATCTTTCCTAGAGCAAGAGTTTGGTTAAGGGCAATGTTGTAAATAGTCTGGCAAGTGTGGGACTCATTCCTAGTACAAAAGAGTTACAAGAATATGCTTTTGTTGGAACGGATTGTTCACTAGAATATACTCCTTTCTCATTTCTCCTCTGAGGGTCTTTAGTTTCCATCCAGGTCCAAATCTCATACCACCTCCTTTTGGAAGCTTTTTCTGATTCCTCTTAGTTATTAGTGCTTTTTTCCTCCTGAGTTATTTTGTCTATTTATCTCCATACATGTTTTACCTCCCCAGTAGAATGAAAGCTTTTTGAAGGGAAGGACTGTTACCATTTTTGTCTTTGTTTCCCCATTTTCTTGTACCGTAGTTTGCACTCAGTAGGTGGTTAATAAATGCTTCTGTGTATTGGGAGACTAAGGAAAGAGGGGTAAGAATAGGAACAAGGGCTTTGGGAACACTTCCTGACATAATGACTCTTATTTATTACTACATACCGCCTCTGTTTGCTCCTCGGCTAGCAATAATAACCAGAGTGTGTGTAGTGGTATATTATGTAACACTGAACCTTCTTATCTTCTTTAAACAGATAGCATATGTGACATAATTAAATTTATTAAGCTATCTTCAGGACTCAAGCTTGTTGTTGTTTAGTCATTTCAGTCGTGGCCAACTCTCTGTGATGCCATTTGTGGTTTTCTTGGCAAAGACACAGGAATGGTTTACCATTTCCTTCTCCATTTTACAGATGAGAAAACTGAGGCAAACAAGGTTAAGTGACTTGCCCAAGTTCACATCACTAATAAGTGTCTGAGACTGGATTTGAACTCAGTTCCTCCTGACTCTAGGGCCAGCACTCTATCTGCTGTGTCACCTAGCTGCACTAGGACTCAAATATCTGAGCTCAAAAGGTGTAACTTAACAAAAGCTTTTCTGAAATGAGAGATGGGGCAGAACTTTTATTCAGTTAATCCTACTCTTCTCACTACAGATACCACTGCCAACGACCGTCTTATGGATAGTGGCAGAGAAAGGGCAGTAGCAGAAAGATAGGGAGGGTCACTGTGGGTCACGGTAGATGGGATGCTCCTAACACAGTCTTTTTGTTTTTAATCTTGTCTCTAGCAAAGGACTCCAGGAGCTAGCAGCTTCTCCTTAAGTGACCTAGAGTGGCTTATGGGAACCTTGCCTCTGTTCCTCTGTGACAGACTGCGCTGCATGGGATGACAATGATGCCAAGAAGGAAGAGACCAGCGCTCACCATCACCTGTCTCATCTTGGCTGCAGCCAGCTGCTGTGGTAATTTGGGTAAGTGCCTCCCTTCCCATATTCATCCCTGCCTTGCTGGTATCCCCCTACTTTTCCTTCACTATAAAATGCAAACCTCAAGAATTCCACAGGAAATCTTTTAAAGGGGATTACAGAAAGGCATATAGCTTCCACTGGCCTACTCAGATCTGCCCAAAATATAAGATGGAGAGAAATAATAATGCTAACAATAACAATGCCACAATTTTGTGTGTGTGTGTGTGTGTTTTTTTCAAATTTTTGCACCAAGTTCCTCTACCTTTGCTTCCTGGAGCTGAAGAGCAGAAGTCACAGAATTCTTGAAATGTTTTTAAAAGAAGTATAGTGTTTTGCAAGGACCAAATAGTCTACACGTTATCCTTTCCACATAACAGGGATTTGGGGTTGCAGAGCTACCATGATCTGGGAAATCCACATCAAATTTTTTGTCCCTTCCTTCAAAACAGAGAAGTCTGAATTATTATGGTACCAAAAGATAAAATATGTTGATATTATACAATACTCTATGTATATTTTATTCATTTCTGTGTTTCTAAACTTTTTCTATGTCATCTGCTGGCCTTCCTGATTCATCTGCAACTTCCACAAAACTCCCCGAAAATTCTCATTTAATTTCTTATGCCGACCCGCGATATGTCGAAACTGTGATGGGGAAAATTGTGAAGTAGAAAATTACTGGCCCATAAAGGATTTAACTTCTGATCCCTCTGTGGGATTCATCCAGAATTTTCTCTTCTTCTCCCAGGTGAAGTCCCTCAGGTTACTGTCCAGCCCACTTCCACTGTCCAAAAGCACGGGGGCCCTGTGATCCTAGGCTGTGTTGTGGAACCACCATGGGTCAACATCACTTGGAGGCTGAATGGGAAAGAACTAAACAGCTCAGATGATGCTCTGGGGATACTCATCACCCGTGGAACCCTGGTCATTGCTGCTCTCAACAACCACACTGTGGGTCGTTACCAGTGTGTGGCCCGAATGCCTGCGGGAGCAGTAGCCAGTGTGCCTGCCACAGTGACACTAGCCAGTGAGTGCTACCCAGCTATGTCTCCTTCTCTGCCATTAGTCCATCCTCTATCCCTCTGCCATTGATCTCTCCTTTGCCTCTGGGTAGCTGAGGCAACATCAGTTGTTTTTTCTCTGACAAGGAATGACAAATGTCCAGCAGGATTGTGACTGACTAGAGAGTAAGCACCTGCCAAGGACATAATACACTCAAGGGAAGGGATGCTGCAGGAACTTATTAAATATTAATTTTTATCTGTGAATTTATATTTAGTGCTGAAAACTTCTTTCTCTATGACATGTAAGTATTATTTTGTAAAAAGGCAAGTCATGAAGGCTCATAGTGCCCCCTTGGCTAGTAATAATGACGGGGTAACAACTTTCAAACCCTGCCTCAGTGACATATTTGTCTTTTCCCCTGCTCTACTGTCCTACAACTTCAAAGTAATCCACACCTAGGATGAGCAATCCTTGTGTCATTATTCTGCCTTTCTCCAAAATGGAGAATGGTCCTTTTCCCATCTTTGGAGTTGGTCTTTGGACTTTGGAGGATTGCTTCTGTCTTTGACTCATTTGAATGGTAGATCCCATTGGAGATTTACTTTTTTTTTTTTTTTTTAGGGGGGGTGGGTGAGGGGATGTATTGGTCTATCTGCCCTGACACACTTCCCTGGCATAAGCATGTGGGTTTTAGTCCATTAGAGACATGTGCTTGAATATAAATGGATTTCCTTCCTTTCACTGAGTTCCTGAACATTCTAATAGTATTAGAAATGACTTGAGAATGAACTATCCATTACTTTGTAGGAGAGAACTGCTCTCTGTCCCACCCCCACCAACTACTGTGCATACCATTTGTTCTAAGGGTCGTGTCTGGTTTGGACAGGCCTCCCTCAACTGCAGAACTTGCCTAAACTCTTGTGTTCCCTTAGGGAACCAAACACCTTGAACCCTAAAATATGATTCTGAGGAACGTAACAGGACAGGAGGCATTATGACATACAGGAAAAGAGGAGCTGGGAGGTGGCAGAGTAAGAATACTACTGATAACATCAGCATATAACTGATAATATCAGTTTATATAGGGCTCTAAAGTTCACAAAGCACTTAATGTACATTCTCATTTGTAGGACCAGGAGGATACAGGGGTAAGACTGCAAAGAAACATCTTAGAGAATATTCAGCAGAGCCCTTTTGTTGGAGATGAGACTTAAGAGGACAGGCAAACCACAGTTTGAGAGTTAGGGCTTCTGAATCCCTTCCATTAGAAAAGTAGCAAGTTCACCCATGCTAAACTTGGCAACTTATGGCTTCATGGGAGGGTCCCAAGGGTGTCCTGTTATTCCTACATAGTCCTACTTTGGAGGGGTACAGAGAAAATTCCTACATAGTCCTACTTTGGGCTTCTGGTTGCACCATCATCTTCATCATGGCCATATCAGAAAATCACTAATTAAGTGATTGTTTGCATATGTTAGAAGTAGCAACAATTGAATTAAGATGATGATGGTTTTGTTGGCCATGCCAATTTCTGGAAAAATTAAAGGCATCTTACTTTAAAGCCATCTGTGTGTTCCTGGGTGCTTGCAATGGGACACATCAGTCACCAGAAGAAGGGGATTCAAAATGAGTAAGCCCATAGGAGAGGAATTGAAGCTAAAGGATGTCTCATTGCCTCCCTGCCCCCTACTCCTCTTCCCCATTCTACTCACTAACCCCTGAAACGTGCTCCACAGGAATTCAGAAGGGAGGCTTCAGGCTACATCCCAGCTTTCTTGGAAGACTGTCAGGCTGCCCTGCCCTTTCTCCCTGTAGAAAGGAAGGGTGTGTACACTTCTGTCTCATGTCAAGAAATGATACTGAGTGGGAGATGTGTCTTGGGGCCACACACGCACACACATGGCAAGAGTCACATACTTTTGCATATAGGGTGTAACCACCGGAGCCTCCCACTTGGAAAGAAATATATTTATCTGTATTTATCTATATTCCTAAGCTGGTGTCTCCTGATAAGAAATAACCAAGTACTTATGGTAGAGAGAAATCTCTGGGTAAATGTACACCTATAAGAGGTGGAGGGGTACAGAGAAGATTATCAGGGGGAGGGCAATAAGCCATGCTTGTATGGGACAAGTACATTTTAGCAAGGAATAGAGGGTTTCTTATCTGTGGCCTGTGAAGCTTCGATCAGAAATAACTTTTCAGTTAGGATATTCCTTTTAGAGCAACATTTTTGGTGTCATAGACCTCTTTGGGAGTCAGTGGCCTATGGAGCCTTTCTCAGAATAATGTTTTTAAATGCTTAAAATGAAAAACCAATTATGTTGAAATATAGTTATCAGAATATAAAAACCAAAAACAAGTTCATGGAACCTAAGTTAAGAAACCCTATGTTAGAGGTCCAAATTTTTCAGTCCAATCAAGGTGTATGTTGGAATCGTGCCATCATAAATCGAAAAGATTAGCTCACCTCCGAATTGTTAATGTGTATCCTGGTGGGATACTATTTCAGAAATCCCCATACGTATCCATCTGGCCACTTTGGCTACCAGATTGTCGCTTTTGTAGCTGTTGTTTGTTTGAGGTGAACTGAGAGAGTTAGTGGAAGGGATGGGGAGGAGACCTTAATTTGAATTGCCCCTTCTGCTTCAAGGTGTATCCCAGTAGAAAGAGGCAAATTTACAACCACCATTTAAAAAACAAAATGCCTTGCAGTTTCTTTTCACTGGTGCCTGGAGGGATCTGCAATTGGCGGGAGGGGACAAAAGAAAGGGTTTGGGAGCTATTCAAAAAGGCAGAAGGAGAAAAGGAGAGGCTTGTGCGGAGGCAGAGCTAGTTTTGTTTTAAAGCCAAGAACTATTGGCTTGTCATTTAGACATTAATCAGAAGTGAAATGTTTAGGCCTGGCTGCAAGGGTAGGAGAGAGCTGGAGAGAGAAAGGGAGGATTGGAGGGGGGAGAAGGGAGGGCTCTGTAATGGAGAAGAGGGAATCAGTGGGGTGGAACTCTACCTCCTAAGCTTGAAGGCAAGAGTGGGGGTGGCGGGAAGACAGGGGTGGGGGGGGTGCTGTCATTGGGTTGATGCCATTGGGGGATTTGGCCCGGATTCGGCAGTTAGATTAAGTTTCTGAGTGCACATTCCAGAGCAGAATGGGGGCTGTGTTTTGCCGGTGGGCTGATGTATGAGGGAGGCTGAGAGGTAGATGTGATTACCAAAAGCATGGTTTTCATTTAGAGGAAAGAAGAAAAGTGCCACACTTACACACACACACATACATCATTTAAGATTTCTTTTTCCTTTGGCCTCTCCAATGTTCTCTCAAATGTCTATATCCTCAGACAAAGTCATCATTGTTCGAGTTTACCTAGGAGTATCCTGCCTTCAGGCCCTAGCTCTTTGGGGATGTGGGGGCTCCAGGTGCCCTGGAGGTCAGGGGTCTTGTTCACAACCCTTTTCTGTAGAAAGGCTTCCTTAGCAGACAACCTGTGTCATCAGAATGTTTGCAGAGGAGTAGCTTCAGTTAAATTCTCCTCCTGTCCAACCCATTCCTGAATAGCTCAAAGACTTTGAGGGGTGGGGGAGGAGAAATAAGGGATTCCAGATAGTATAACACCTAGGTCCACCATGTTCCACAAGATCATAGGATCACAGGTATACAACTGGCTAGGAGCTTAGAGGTCATCTAGTCCAGAAGCTTCACTTTACAGATGAGGAAATAGAGGTCCAGAGACCTGCTCCGGGTCAGAAAGATAGTAGGTGGGATTGGAACTCAGGTCCTATGACTCTTAGCTCACTGCTACTTTTATTTCATTTAACATGTTGGCTATTGCTCCATCTGTCCTTCTTTGAGAAACCTATTCCACTTCTTTGTAGATGTCTCTGTTATGAATTTTTTTTAGATATGACATCAGTCTCTTGTTAAATTTCATCCTTTTCTCCTAGCAACCCACTTGAGGCTAGCTAAAATAATTCTTCCTCTTTGAACTATTTTTTTCTGTTTTCATCACTTCACTCCCTTTCTCTTCATTCCCTTAATCCGTATTCTTAGGAAACACAGACACTTAGCTCTGTTAACCTGACTTTGAAGTTAGTGCCTTTTTAATTCTTTAATTCTCTTATTTGTCCTTTGTAGGCTCTAGGTTCTCACAGCCACTGGAGTTAATTGTGGGTGGTGATGGGTGGCTTGTAAGACTGAATTCAGGAGTCTGGCAGCCCAAATACCCTCTTTCTTCACCCTACCAGGAAAGGTCTCTGCAGTGTAGGTCACTGACCTCAGTGAGATTCGTACAGATATTTGGTCTGGTAGTAAGCCTGAACTCCATTAGCCACTCCCAAGAATCCCAAGAGCTAAACTAAGGTATTCCTGAATTAATTCATTCCTCTGCCACGTGAACCTGGAACTAGAGACTTGGGTTCATGCCATGGGGAATAGCTTGCCTTTCTATCATCCCTCAGGTATCTCATTTGCAGTTGGAGATACTTAGCTAATACAGCATCTTGAACCTGAAGCTTGGGTATAATTGAGAGTATATGGTTTATGCCTGAGCCTTCTCCTCCTCCTTCTAGGGCCTTTGAGAATAAAGAAGAGACCAGAATCCCTGGGTTATAAATTTTTCAGCATCAATAATCATCTGAATCAGTCAGATTCTTAATCTACCCCTAGGAAGAAAATCATCACTGCATCAGCCCATCCCACAGTGGATGGGAATTAGGTATAGGAGATTGAGTAGGGAGAAGACAAGGCAGAAGTGGCCAAGACCACTTCTCCCAGTATTTTCTTTTCTCACTTCCTGTTTATAACCCGTGACCAGACCTCAACAAGGCCCTTTGTGAGTTGGGGAAAAGGAAGTGGCTAGGGATTTTCACTCTTAATCTTTCCATTTCACTTCATTCATTCATTCAGTGTATGTTTATTCACACTTACACAGTGTAAGGCATTTTGCTGCTTTGCCCTTTATTAATGGGTCCTTATTGCCTAACTGGGTGCCTAGGTGGCGAAGTGGATAGCACACACTACCTGGA